CAACTGGCGTCCAAAGAAACAGGATAAGTAAAGGTAGCCACGGGGTGTATATGGGGAAGTCTGAAGACCGCCAGTATTACCCAGGAGGCAATCCTAGTTATTAGGTCTTCAGACGAAAGTCTTGAAGACCTACTGTTTTTATCAGAATATTCTTCTTCTTATTATTATTATTTGTACAATTTTTGTGACAGCTCTCCTGAACTAACTACTGACTCGATTTGCATGAAACTTTCAGGGGTGATAGCCTGTGTGCTGAAATTGATACATAGTCGAAAAAATCCCGACTTCCGGCTTCCGGTAAGGGCAGAGAACCCAAAATGTCGAAATCTTTGCACCTGAATAACTCAAAAACTATAAGAGATAAATGTACCAAATTTTCACTCAATGTAGACAACATCATTCCCCATCGATTCATCGATTCGATTCAACGAAGTTGGCTGTCATAATAGATTTTCCGCCATTTTGAAAAAAATGAAATTTTTGCCAATTTCCACGTTTTGCCGGTGCCTGTGTTTGAAAATCTTCTTCTCCAGAACGGCATATAGTACAATCATGTTCGATAGGCCGTTGGAAAGCCGATACTCTGGACTACGTAGTTTGCTCAAGGCATGTCGATATCTTGAATGGTTTTGGAATTATCGCCCTTGAAAGTCTGCGAAAACACAATGGATTCCATTTCCCAAAGTACCAAACTGTAGATAATTGAATGGGAAACATTTTTGCTTCACATTATGGTTATGTAAAAATCAATACTTACGTCACCATTACGACACAAGCACAAACTGGGCGAGTTTGCACATTTCCGCACCTTTTGACGGTGCCTGTGTTTAACAATCTTCTTCTCCTGAACGGCAAATAGTATAATAGTGTTTTATATATCATTTTAAAGCCCACCCTCCGGACTACTTAGTTTGCTCAACCCATGTCGATATCTTGAATAGTGTCGGAGTTATTACCCTTGGAAGTTGGTCAATTTTGTCAAACACATTTTTATAGTGTTCATAAAAATGTCACAGCTCTGACCTAACCTCTTGGACGATTTTCATGAAACTTTCAGGGATGATAGCCTGTATGCTGAAATTGACACAATGTTGAAAACAATCCCGACTTCCAGCTTCGGTAAGGGCAGATAACCAAAAATGTCAAAATATTTCAAAATCTTTCAACCTCAATATCTCCAAAACTATCAGAGATAAATTGACCAAGTTTTCACTCAATGTAGACAACGTCATTCTCCATCGTTCAACGCATAAAATAAGTTTAGCAGCAGAAGAATTTTTCCGCAATTTTGGAAAAACTGATTTTTTTCGATTTTTCCGTTTGAACGATGCCTGTGTTTAAAATTCTCCTCCTGCTATACGGCATATAGTACAATCGCGTTTGATATATCGTTGTAAAGCCCACACTCCGGACTACTTAGGTTGCTCAAGGCATGTCGATATCTTGAATAGTTGTGGAGTTATCACCCTTGGAAGTTGGTCAATTTCTCCAAGACACATTTTCATAGGGTTCATAAAAATGTCACAGCCCTGCGAAAACACAATGAATTTCGTTTTCCAAGTTACCAAACTGTAGATAATTGAATGGGGAACATTTTTGCTTCACATTATTGTCATGTAAAAGTTAATAATTACGTCACAATTACGACACAAAGACGAGCATTTGGATTGTTCGCATTTGGTTAGTGGTGAGATTGCTGGTGAGATAGGTGAAGGAAGTGCCAGTAAAATATAGCAACATTCACCGCTTCCTGGCTTTCCAATGCCCATAGAAACAGTTCCCTCTTTAACAGGCCGTAGCTCCGTTCTTCTTAGGTCTACAGTCAAAAGAGTTAGTGTTCTGGAATTGGAAGGATCTAATCTCTCCAGCAGTTTGTTTGCAAGCCTGATTTGAGTTGAGTTACTATGACAGGATCATACTTGATATTTTCATAACAACAAAATCGGCAACATTTACCAGTTATTTCTCTTTTAGTATATGTCTGTATTTATTGCTCATTTCATTGCTGTGCTTGGCTGTGCGTTCCTGTTTGTTGTTCTGCAGTTTGTGTCAGCTGCATTGAATCAGCGTTAGAATGAAATTAGTGGTAGTGCTCTTTTCCGGAGCAGAACTCTAAAACCGTTCACTATTTCTTCACCAAACTTGGCACATAGATAGATCTGGTGGTGTACTGGTGCCTTTTGGTAGTTTTGGAATTCTGAATAAAATATATTTGGCATTTCCGTGACACCAAGTTTTGACTTAGCCTGAAATTAGTGGTAGTACTCTTTTCTGGAGCTGAACTCTAAAACCATTCACTATTCCTTTACCAAACTTGGCACATAGATCTGGTGGTGTACTGGTTCCTTTTTGGTAGTTTTGGATTTCTGAATAAAATATTTTTGGCATTTCCATGGCAACAAGCTTGACATAGACTGAAATTAATGATAGTGCTCCTTTCTGGAGCAGAACTTTAAAAACCTTTCAATACTCTCCTTCTACTTTTCTATATACACACCTAAATATTTGACATAATCATAACTCGGAGACATAATACTGAAGAGTATTTTGCCATTGCGTGGGGATATTGATGACTTTGTCTTCTTGTTATTATTATTTGTACCGATTTTGTACCCGCTCCCCTGACCTAACCGCTGGGTCGATTTTCATGAAACTTTCAGGGATGATAGCCTGTATGCTGAAATTGATACAATGTTGAAAAAATCCCGACTTCCGGCTTCCTGTAAGAGAACCCAAAATGTCGAAATCTTTACACCTGAATAACTCAAAAACTATAAGAGATAAATTGACCAAATTTTCACTCAATGTAGACAACATCATTCTCCATCGATTTAACGCATAGCAGAAAGTGGGGGCCATGATAGATTTTCCGCAATTTTGGAAAAACTGAAGTTTTTGTCAATTCTGCATTTTTACGGTGCCTGTCTTTCAAAATCTTCTTCTCCAGAACGGCATATAGCACAATCGCGTTCGATACACCGTTGGAAAGCCTATACTCAGGATACCTTAATTTGTTCAAGGCATGTCGATATCTTAAACTGTTTTGGAGTTATAGCCCTTTGAAGTCGGTGAATTTTTCTAAGACGATTTTCATAGGGTTGAAAAAAAAGGTCACAACTCAGCGAAAAATCAATGGATTCCATTTTCCAAAGTACCAACCTCTAGGTAATTGAATGGGTCACATGTTTGCTTCACATTATGGTTATGTTAAAATCAATAATTACATCACCATTACGACACAAAGACAACCTTCGCGATTTGTCACATTTCCGCACCTTTTCGACGGTGCCTGTGTTTAACAATCTTTTTCTCCTGAACGGCAAATAGCACAATAGTGTTCTATATACGTTTTAAAGCCCACACTCCGGACTACTTAGTTTGGTCAAGGCATGTCGATATCTTGAATAATGTTGGAGTAATTGCCCTTGGAACATTTTTATAGGGTTCACGGCTCTGCGAAAACACAATGGATTTCCTTTTTGAAGGTACCAAACTGTAGATAATAAAATATGGAACATTTTTGCTTCACATTATTATCATGTAAAAGTCAATAGTTACGCCACAATTACGCCACAAACAGAACGGAGCTACCACCTGGTAAAGAGGGAACTATTTCCTCGGGCATTGGAAAACCAGGAAATGGTGATTGTTGCACGATTTTACAGACGCTTCGAAAATGTTTTCGCATTTTGTCAGTGGTGAGATAGCAGAAGGAAGCGCCTGTAAAATCTAGCAGCATTCACCATTTCCTGGTTTTCCAATCCCCAAGGAAATACATGTAGTTCCCTCTTTAACAGGCCGTAGCTCCGTTGTTCTGAGGTCTACAGTCAAAACAATTAGTGTTCTGGAATTGCCAGGATATAATCCCTCCAGCAGTTTGTTTACCAGCCTGACTGTGACAGGATCATGCTTGACGTTTTGACCACAGCAAAATCTACAACATTTACCAATAATCTGTTTGAGTACATGTCTGTATATATTGCTCAATTCCTTTGCTTTGCTTGACTGTGCGTTCCTGTTTGTTTTTCTGCAGTTTGTGAATTTTCCGTTTGTGTCAGCAGCATTGAATCAATGCCAAATTGATCTAAAAAACACTGTAATGGACGCTACAGCTGACGTCCAAAGAAACAGTACAAGTAAAGATAGCCACGGGGAGTGTATGGGGAAGTCTGAAGACCGTCAGTATTGCCCAAGAGGCAATCCTAGTTATTATTATTATTATACCGCCATGAGCAGTGATCATTGGTTCATGATGGCACATGGTCATGTCACACATTGTAACTTGCTTCCTTCAAAGTCATATAAAATATAAAGTAACTGCCTACCTGATGTCTTTGGGCTGACATGTTGATGTGAATTGTGCGATACAATATTGTCCAACTTATGTGAAGATGTTTCTACAGTATGCTTAGTTGATTTATAGTTAACACATGTCAGTGTACTTTGATTAAATATTACTGTATGATTGATGTTCCCCCCTGCTTAGGTCTCCAGCTGCTAGATCACTGGGGGCAGTGGTTAGGGTGATATTATCTCTATTTCCACTCAGTGAGTTAGCTGTTAGGCGAACTGTATCTCTGTTACTTCCTCCCATACATGCTGGGAAATGTCCAGGGATGATAGCTTGATTGTGCTTAATCTCTGCCATATATGATTCTTTGTGTATGAAAAAAACACATCAGCTGGTTAACTCCCACTGAGTGTGCAATGTGTGTGCTTGTTTTAAAGGAATTGGTATGGATGCACTTTATAATGTGAAATATTAATATCATAGCATCAAGTTACTGTCATGAATGTGGTCACTTCTCACAATGCACAGTTCCTGATTCTGTTACTATGGCAACTAATTGATGTTGAAATGACAATGGACGAGAAGATCTGTCTGACCTGTTATGTTCAATGTTGTTTTTCCAGGAATGCATGTTTAAACATTTCGAGTTTTCTTTTTGTGATTGTAATTGTTTTGGCATAGTTTTGACAAGATTTTCCTTTCGCCCCAGGTGGTTGTATTGCTGATAGCTATGACGAGAGCAGCCTGTAATTCTGCCAGAAAAGCTACAATCTTTGAACCGTTCCCCACAGTAGTAGACCCAGCCAACCCCCAAGAACTTGTGCTGTCACCAAAGGTAACCATAAACATCAAGTGTTTCTCTTGTCTGCATCACCTATTACTTCATAACCTATTGTTACACTACCTTTTGTTGCATTACGTATTGTTACATTACCTATTGCTACATCACCTATTGCTGCATCACCTATTGTTACACTACCTTTCGTTGCATTACGTATTGTTACATTACCTATTGCTACATCACCTATTGCTACATCACCTATTTCTACATCACCTATTGTTACATCACCTATTGCTGCATCACCTATTGTTACATTACCTATTGTTACATCTCTTATTGCTACATCACCTATTGCTACATCACCTATTGTTACATCACCTATTGCTTCATCACCTATTGCTACATCACCTATTGCTACATCACCTATTGTTACATTACCTATTGCTACATCACCTATTGCTACATCACCTATTGTTACACTACCTTTCTTTGCATTACGTATTGTTACATTACCTATTGTTACATCACTGTTTCGAACATTACCTATTGCTACATCTCCTATTGTTACATTATCTATTGCTACATCACCTATTGCTGCATCACCCTAACATTTGTTACCTATTTACACCTATTGTTACATACCATTGCTACATCACCTATTGTTACAACCATTGCTACATCACCTATTGCTACATCACCTATTGTTACATTACCTATTGCTACATCACCATACATCACCTATTGTTACATACCATACATCTTTATTGCTACATTACCTATTGGTACATCACCTATTGTGCTACATCACCTATTGTTACATTACCTATTACTACATCACCTATTGCTACATCACCTATTGTTACATTACCTATTGCTACATCACCTATGGTTACATTACCTATTGCTACATCACCTATTGTTACATTACCTATTGCTACATCACCTATTGCTACATTACCTATTGCTACATCACCTTTTGTTACATCTCCTATTTCTACATTATCTATTGCTACATCACCTTTTGTTACATCTCCTATTTCTACATCACCTCTTGCTACATCACCTATTAATACATCACTTATTGCTACATCACCTTTTCGAACATTACCTATTCTTACATCACCTATTTCCATACCATATACTACTAAATCACTGGTTGCTACATCTCCTATTTCTACATCACATTTCTACGCCATATATTACTAGGTCACCTTTTCCAGCATAACCTATTGCTACATCACATATTGTGACATTATGTATTGTGACATTATATATTATTACATCAATTATTGTGACATTACATATTGTTACATCACCTATTGTGACATTACATATTGTAACATCACCTATTGTGACATTACATATTGAAACATCTCCTATTGTGACATTACATATTGTTACATCACCTATTGTGACATTACATAATGTTACATCTCTTATTGTGACATTACATATTGTAACATCACCTATGGTGACATTACATTTTGTAACATCACCTATGGTGACATCACATATTGTAACATCACCTATTGTGACATCACATATTGTTACATATTGAGACATTACATATTGTTACATCACCTATTGTGACATTACATATTGTAACATCACCTATTGTGACATCACAGATTGTAACATCACCTGTGGTGACATTACATATTGTAACATCACCTATTGTGACATCACATCTTGTTACATGTATTGAGACATTACATATTGTTACATCACCTATTGTGACATTACGTATTGTAACATCACCAATTGTGACATCACATATTGTAACATCTCCTATTTTGACATTACATATTGTTACATCACATATTGTGACATTACATATTGTAACATCATCTATTGTGGCATCACATATTGTTACATCACATATTGTGACATTACATATTGTTACATCACCTATTGTGACATTACAGATTGTAACATCCCCAGTTGTGACATCATCTATTGTGTCATCACATATTGTTACATCACCTATTGTGACATTACATATTGTAACATCATCTATTGTGGCATCACATATTGTTACATCACCTATTGTGACATTACATATTGTTACATCACCTATTGTGACATTAGATACTGTAACATCATCTATTGTGGCATCACGTATTGTTACATCTCCTATTGTGACATTACATATTGTAACATCACCAGTTGTGACATCATCTATTGTGACATCACATATTGTTACATCAGCTATTGTGACATTACATATTGTAACATCATCTATTGTGACATCACCTATTGTGACATTACATATTGTAACATCATCTATTGTGGAATCACCTATTGTGACATCACATATTGTTACATCACCTATTGTGACATTACATATTGTAACATCATCTATTGTGGAATCACCTATTGTGACATCACATATTGTTACATCACCTATTGTGACATCACATATTGTTACATCACCTATTGTAACATTACATATTGTAACATCACCTACTATGACACTACATATTGTAACATCACCTATTGCGAGATCACATATTGTTACCTCACCTATTGTGACATTACATATTGTAACATCACCTATTGTGACATCACAGATTGTAACATCACCTGTGGTGACATTACATATTGTAACATCACCTATTGTGACATCACATCTTGTTACATGTATTGAGACATTACATATTGTTACATCACCTATTGTGACATTACGTATTGTAACATCACCAATTGTGACATCACATATTGTAACATCTCCTATTTTGACATTACATATTGTTACATCACATATTGTGACATTACATATTGTAACATCATCTATTGTGGCATCACATATTGTTACATCACATATTGTGACATTACATATTGTTACATCACCTATTGTGACATTACAGATTGTAACATCACCAGTTGTGACATCATCTATTGTGTCATCACATATTGTTACATCACCTATTGTGACATTACATATTGTAACATCATCTATTGTGGCATCACATATTGTTACATCACCTATTGTGACATTACATATTGTTACATCACCTATTGTGACATTAGATACTGTAACATCATCTATTGTGGCATCACGTATTGTTACATCTCCTATTGTGACATTACATATTGTAACATCACCAGTTGTGACATCATCTATTGTGACATCACATATTGTTACATCAGCTATTGTGACATTACATATTGTAACATCATCTATTGTGACATCACCTATTGTGACATTACATATTGTAACATCATCTATTGTGGCATCACATATTGTTACATCACCTATTGTGACATCACATATTGTTACATCACCTATTGTGACATCTATTGTGACATCACATATTGTTACATCACCTATTGTAACATTACATATTGTAACATCACCTACTATGACACTACATATTGTAACATCACCTATTGTGAGATCACATATTGTAACATCACCTACTGTGACATCACATATTGTTACATCAGCTATTGTGACATTACATATTGTAACATCACCTATTGCGAGATCACCTAGTGTTACACAATCTGTTTGTATGTTATCCGTCACCACATCACCCTTTCTTTAATACCTATTTACCATGAACTTCGATCACTTGCCCAGACTGACCGATATTGATGACTTATTGATCTTGTGCTTCCAGAACAAGGATTATGCAAAGGTGATAAACATCATCAAGTCTTTCCTCACTATCCAGGAGATGATGAGGCTTGGCAGCTCGACTCTCAAGAAGGAAATGGATGTCCGGAATGCTAATGCATATCCGCTGCTTCAGTGGTAGGTAGTGTTGTCTTCATTTCCAGGTGTATCAGTGTATCTCCTGTTTGTGACTGGGTAATTGAGGCTCTGATTGTATGTAATCATGGGATAGATTTGTACTGCTGCAATATGTCATATATTGTATGAAGTCTGAGCCTGTATGTTTAACTTGTAGACAATGACGGATGCTAGCCACCCAACTTTTCACCTCTTTGACCTCCATGATGTTGCCCTGTTTCAGCATGAACTCTGTCACTTTCACAGAGTTAGGGGTGGTTGGGGGAACTAAGTGTTTTTTGTGCCAAAGGCCTAGGTTTAGTTCACTACATGGGTACAATATGTGAAACCGATTATGTTATTTCATTTATTACACCATGTAGGTCACTCACTCACCCACTCTAAAAAAACATCACCCATAACTGTCTCTCTCATATTGATTCTCATTTGAAGAAAATGTTTGGCATTGTGTCCTGCAAACAATATGTTTAATGTTGGTATTTGTTGCAGGATTATTGCAAGCAACCGTTCCCACATAGTGAAGCTCCCACCAGACAGAGTAAGTAGATGCTCTTAACAAGAGTGACCTCCCTTCAATTGTGTCTGTCTGTTTTTGTCATTGGTGAAAATTGGTTGAGACAGTCATAAATTTTCTTCCAGTATCTACTAAAGTATTTCAAAGGTTTATTGAATTTATACTACTACTCGGTGGAAGTGAAAGTCACAATTATGATAAACCAATTCAATTTACTCAAAGCAATATTTATAGATCATTTAGGTTAGTTCTTTGTTTTAAAAATTTGACTTAAATTATTTTTACATTGGTGTGTTTTGCAATTTGAAAGCATTGAAGGTGTTTTTCTTATGTTATGGGACTTTTCACATCACTTCTCTAATAAACAGGCCTATGGTGTGATTGATGCCTGCTATTGTGTCAGACTTCCAATCATATTTTTAACATTTGGAACATATCTTTTCTTTACAATGCCCCAGTGAAGACCTTTGTTATAACTGGTCTTCTGCAACCCATGCTTGTGGTCAAAAGTGATGAATGGGATCGAGTGTTGAGGCTTGCTGACATACAGATTCCTGTAATACAGCAAGAATATTGCTGATTGGTTGTGTTAAAACGATACGTATTGCGATACGCTGATCGAAAACCGGTATTTTGACTTGCATTCAGAAAACTTTGTAACATTCTGAAGTGTTCGGATATTTCCTTGTTTCATTTGTGCCAAATATTATTTACATTTTTATTTTGTCATGATTAAAAGTTTTTATTAAAGCTTAATCAAGCATAGTGATTTTGTTGTGTTAATGCTTTATAAAGCAAGCATTAACTCGATTATAAGTAGTTTTTGTTTAAAAATACTTTTTGCAATATATTGCAATACATATCGCAATACATGCTTTCGCCTCGCAATATATCGCAATATAAAAATACTCTGCAATACCCACCCCTAGTGTTTATGTGTATCCTTGTTGTGTAGCCTCTGTATCCTTGTATCTACTCTGACTGTAACCTTGTAACCTTCCTGTTGCAGCAACTGAGCTTCATGCACACACCTCATCAGTTCCTGTTGATGAGCAGTCCTCCAGCCAAGGAAGCCAAGTTCAGAGAGGAGAAAGTCAAATATGGCAGCACTTTTGCATTCCAGTGAGTTTGTCGTTCCTACTTTGAAGAGTTAGAACTGCTGATATAGGTCCTACTCCATAGAAAGGAGCATGTTTCGTGCCATATATAGTATCCTTCCATTAATGTTCCATTTGTCTGTGCCTTTTGTAGTATTATCCATCTTGTTTTATAGGGCTGCAACGATTCGGTTCGAGGGGGCGGTGGGGTAGCCAAGTGGGTAAAGCTTGGCTCGTCACGCTGAAGACCCGGGTTCGATTTCCCACATGGGTACAATGTGTGAAGCCCATTTCTGGTGTCCCCCACCGTGATGTTGCTGGAATATTGCTAGAAGCGGCGTAAAACCAAACTCGCTCAAAAATCGAATCTGACACCTTAGTTTTGATTTTCGATAACCATTATCACTATTTCGATTCAATATTTGAATACCTATTTAAATTATTTCCACACAGCCAGAATTAAATTTTGACTCCCAACTCGAGCTGTTTCAAGCGCTGAAATTATGCAAAACGTGACTCGACTCCGGGCTAATTATCCAATGAGAATTGTTGTTAGTAGACATCGCCAAATTGACAGTGGATTTCAAGCTAAAAAAGCCGACTCTGGGAGTTGAATGAAATCTGATGTTTTTACTTGTATGAAGAGTCAAATTGAAAATGATTGAATCGAAGGTCCAATATCGAAAATCGAATCGAATTCAGGCCTGGGTGAATCGTTGCAGCCCTGTGACAGTGCGTCACTGGTTCAAGGGTGGGAGTGGATTCTGAGTTTGGAGGAGAACTGCTGAAGTCGTACTCGATATCAAGGAACATGTTTCATGTCATACATAGTTTCCTGTTGGTAATTGATAACAGCTGTTTTCTCCAAATGTACCCTTTGTATGAGTGAAGAAATGGAGACAGTTCAGTATTGAGTCGCCACAGAATAGATACCACTTCTCCAATAGATACCATGCCAACTGCTAGTGCGTTGATAGATGCATGGGTATCTAACAGAGAAATTATGTTATAAACTGTATTATTACCTTCGAGGTGAAATTTTATGGGTTCATACTTTTCATACGATGCCCTAGGGCAAAATATACTTTGTCATGGTGACGTGACGTCATGAACAATGCTATGATGTCACATTTCTTCTGTGATGTTGCGTTCTACATGTGACATGTAGCCAGCCTATGTTTGAAAGTAGATTTGGGTTTATTTTCCTCAATTTGACGACCTCGGTAATAAATACGATATTATATGGGTGCCGATATCATACTATGTTTATGACACTCATGCCTATATTTCGGTATATCCCTCACTCTCGCTCGGGAAATACCAACAATTTGGCACTTGTGTTGTAAACATAGTATGACATAGGCACTCATATAATATCCTCTATATATTTACCAAAGTCATCCGTATGAAATTGTAGTGCTGTGTTATCTGACTTTTAGATGTAACAACCCTTCACAGCATTTGTAGCCCTAAACATTACATTACCTTAATGTTGTTAGAATTTCTCCAGAAAGCATGTTTATACTGGAGAGCTCATCTTGCCCATGTCATAAATAGACATTTTCAATAATGTAGCTGCCAATGAATCCATAACTGTAGGAAAGATTCTTCTGAGCCACAGCAAATGGGTTTCTTGTTAATGCATCGTTACGGGGAGGTGTTCTTGAATTTCCTATCTTGCAGAATTATTGCTGTAGATAGTTATTTCAATCGAATGGGAATTGTCGGCCTACATGTGTGTGGTTTCTATGGATGAATGAAGAAGTTACTATGGAGATATGTAGCTGGAATGGCGGCACATCAACCTGTTGACCTTGTTGTATTTCAGTGGGTCGAGTATAGAGAACTGGCACTCCATCATCAGGGAAGGACTAATTGTAGCATCGGGGACTACCAAGCAGGTAAAATGTCAACCATTGTGACTCTTGTACATCGGAATAACAACCTTTAGAAATAATTCATAGTTTGCGATACACCATTATCAGTCTTAGCACTACCACTGCCTACCTTCACTGCCTACTTCTATCACATAGAGGGGTGGTGGGTGGGGTAGCCTAATGGTTAAAGCGTTCGCTCGTCACGCTGAAGACCCCGGGCTTGATTACCCACATGGGTACAATGTGTGAAACCATTTCTGGTGTCCCTCACCGTGATATTGCTAGAATATTGCTAAAACCAAACTCACTCACTCTAGTGGTCCGATTAATTGAAATAATCGAAGATTGGCCGCAGTGACTAAACGACCAAGCAATCGATCATGTTTTCTCATAACCGAACACAAACAATTCTGGAACACTTGTTTTCATTAACAGTATTTTTCACAAGGTTTGTTTTGTCTGTTACATTTCATAAGCACAGCAAGCTCATTCAAAGTCATGATTGAATTTATCTTAAAGACTCCAAGCAATTTATACTAGTCATCCTTTTAAGATGTGAAATTTTGAATTCGTGTTGCTTTGACTTGTTTGACCCAGAATATCTGCCCGTCCAAAGCCAATGTCGAATGAACCGTAAGCCCACGCACCCACTATGACGTCACTTGACAACAGAACTGATAGTGGCCCGTCGTTAAGGTTGAGCGGTCCAATATCATTTGCAGTGGCCAACAAATTTCTGATAATGGGAGGTCCGTTTCATGATAATTCCATGTATTTTAGCTATAATGTTCTATATATCCACATATAAAGGTTGTTAATTTGATACTGCAGACTAATTGTAACATAATTTAGACCATGGTGGTATCAGTGTTGTGACGTGTTGCCAAAGGTCTCATTCCGATGATGTTATTCCTATGGTTATTGCAAGTCTGAGTGAAGGAGTGACAGACACAGAAATAATGTATGGAACAAGGCCTGTGTGTGTGGAACAAGGCTGGTAATGTAAATCCGACTGGACATGTCCTTCATGTTTCAGATGAACGGGGCAGCCTACGGCAAGGGCATCTACCTCAGCCCCTCCTCCAGTGTGTCGTTTGGCTACTCCCGGATGGGATACGGATACTATAACTCCAAAGGCAAACCTGCAGAACAAGAACAGGTATGTAGTTATTACATGCAAATTGTCATTTGATAGGTATTGATGATGATGACAGCCCCATAGAGATTGAGGGTTAGACCAGGCGTTTGGAACATCTTGTCTTTTCATCTGTTTGTTCAATTTGTGACAGAAATACAGCTACGCATAACCATGATGATCATAACTTCTTTGAGAGGCATTTTAGAAGTTGGATAGATGAAGCAAAACCAGGTTCTATGGATAGTCAACTTCTTTATTGCAATGGGTGCGAAGTTTCGGTGTAGGTACTAACACCGTTATCATCACTTGCTTGATAACGGTGTTAGTACCTACACCGAAATGTGGTACCCATTGCAATAAAGTTGTCTATCCATAGAACTTGGTTTTCCTTCATGATGATCACGAAAATAATATTACCTAAAAAGACATATAAGGACAAACTTTATGGATGAGACCCATATAAGGACAAACTTTATGGATGAGACCCATATAAGGACAAACTCTATGGATGAGACCCATATAAGGACAAACTTTATGGATGAGACCCATATGAGGACAAACTTTATGGATGATAAGGACAACTTCAGTCCATATATAATCAGACAAACTCTTAAAAATATGGATGACCCATCCATAAGGTATGGATGAGACCCATATCAAACTCTATGGATGAGACCCATATAAGGACAAACTCTATGGATGAGACCCCTAATATAAGGACAAACTCTATGGATGAGACCCATGATAAGGAACTTCTAAAAATGACACTGAAAGAAGATATAGACCCATGTTGTTATATATAGCTTAGCACACTTATGTGGTTTGCACTGCTTGCAGCATCAATAATATGGTGTGCTTTACATGACAATGCAGAACTATCAACCAAGGCTTGCTCCATTCTCACCCAAATCGGTGTCCGACCTTTACTTGTTGAACATGTGGCGTCATTACGATGTAGAATATCCTTCTGAAACAATGAACACGATGCACCCTGGTGATATAAAGTATGAAAATACCTCTAAACCTAACCATCATCTTGTACACAAAAGATAAAGTTTCTTGAGATTCTGAGTTAGAACTGGCCCAACTCAAAGTATGGTTCGTGCATGAGGTCACCTAACGATGAATACAGGTTAACTGTGTGTCAACTGAAAACATTGTGCACCTTTTCAGAAACAAGGACACTATTAACACTAATTCCCACTCACAACCGCATCATCATAATGTCCTCTGTATGTTTTCAAAACAAAATTTCAACCACACCAGCTTCACAGTGAAAGCTATGAATAAGAGATCCAATATAGCCTGCAGTTACTTCCCTTTGTTTGTGCACTACTGCAAATCTTTTCAGCTTCTTTTGCTGTTAGTCAGTTTCCTCAATGAAAATATGAAATTTGCAATCTACTGAACATGATCGTTTGTATTGGTATATGCGTACAGAATGACAATGTTTTCCATGTAGAGAGTAACATTATGTTTGCTTCTGCCTCATAAATTAGACCAATATTCAGAGATGCCAACTCATACGATTTCATTGTATTCGTTACGAAAAAACAACACAACACAACGATAGTAGTAAAAGTATACGGTTTTAAAAAAAATACATTAAATTATCAATAGCATATGTACCATACTCAATAAATTGCAACCACATTTTATTCAGTATCAAGCAATATGTGGATACTTACTACTGATTTAGGTGAGTACAATGTTAATAACAAGTTCTTAGAATATCTATATTTTCTGTATTAAATATGATATTTTTCCTTATCCTGACTCATGTATTATTGCTTGTCTCCTTCCTTTCCCGAACGTTAGTGGAACACTTGTATCTCCTTTTTGAAGCTCCCTTTAAAAAAAGCAGATGTAAAATCACTACTCACCACGAGTTGTGTCCCTCTGGTTTTTGGCGGGAAAATGGCGCCACCCATCTTCCCATGCTTCACTCTCTCCTTCTTCGCCCTAGTGGACGGTTGGGAGAGCACCTGTGTCTCCAATACGGCACTATATCCTTTGATAACTTAGTTATTTCCCTATAAGTTACCTTTATAAGGTTTCAGGGAGTATCCTTCTACAATATGGTTTGAAATTTATTCATAATTTGACTGTTTATTCACGGTTTTACGTGATTGTTCAGTTTATTTACATTTCATGAAAACCTTTTTTCGTTGTAGGTTTAGGTTCTCTGCTGCAGACTCGCATTATTGTGCCCTAGTTGCACAACAATATGTACTTCCAGCTCTCGCTGTAACTTATGTCAGCAAATAACACAAATTCAATTTAATAATTATTATTTCTCTGTACTTAGGCGTGCTAAGGATAAATCCAGACGACTTTTGCAAGTCATGGGTAAACCGGCTGAGTCCCTCAAGAGCTGTCTATCGTTGTCAGACGACATACTTCCATCCAGTGCCTAAGACTTCAAGCAGCTCTACGGGGTTTTCTTCGCAGATTACGAGGACCTTTTCGGCCGAAATCGTCCCGATGGAAGAGAGAGGTCTTTATGATGAGCCGCTGTTGATCATCCCAGAGATGCAGCATAAGGAAAGGAAGCAGGCCTCAGCAACGGTAACGTCAGCAGCCCTATCTACGCAGTCTGAGTTACCTTCTATACTGACAGCAGAGATCCATGAGGCACAGCGATCCCTGGACCATATCGCTACCATCGCAGATACAACATCTCTACAATCGTCGCAGACATTCAACCCCGGGGCCTTTATGCAGCAATTCTCTCAACAAGATGATGGAGATGATGGAGAAGCGCTTCGCGCAGGAAAGAGCCTCACATGATGGACAGCCAGGCGGCTCTCATGCTCAAGTCATCAACCTCAGAGAGGATCCAGACCTGCACGAACGACCCCACACTGATGATACATCTGAGAGGCCCACCAGAGAATCTAGCTTTAGGACTAAGAGCAGATCTATGCTACATGACGTCAGCAAACCTGCACGCAGGACGGCACGCTCTTCAGAACCAATGAGATCGTCATCAGATGATGAGGCTAATGATGAACCTTCACGCAGGCTACCCACTTCACAGAGAAAGAAACCTACACCACCTAGAAGGTCGAGAGAGACGTCTTGGGACTCAGACCCTCAACAAATCTCTCACCTGCGCGAAGGTCATCTGAATTATCTTCAACAGCGTCAACAACAAGATCGTCACGGGAGTCACCACTTAGGAATACATTGCCAAGTGACCTGCCGGAGGCATCTTCAGAAGTGGGGGCGTGGGATGAGGTCCGCCATTACATCGAAGAAAAGATCTTCTACGTCGGACAACTCCTCAACCCATACGAAGAAGAAGAGGCCATCTTCGTTGCAGAAGAAGCCTTACACCCCTAAGGCTTCAACGAGATCTACTGGAAGCTCTTCAAAGACTACAAGGACCTTCTCTGCCGAGATCGTCCCGATGGAAGAAATAGGCTTGTAGGTAGAACCGCCTATCCTCATCCCAGAGATACTGCATAAGAAGAAGACGCAGGCCTTATCTACGCAGTCTGAGTTACCTTCTACACTGGCAGCAGGGACCCATGAGGTACAGCGATCACTGGACCATATCGCTACCCTCTCAGATGCGTCATCTCTACAGTCATTTCAGATATTCAACCCCGGGACCTTCATGCAGCAATTCTCCAACAGATGATGGACCTGATGGAGAAGCGCTACGCGCAGGACCTTGCATGATGGTCAGGCAGCCGCCTCTCATGCTCAGCCAATGCTGCACGAAGGACCCCGCACCGGTGGTGCATCTGAGATATCTACAAGAGGTTCTAGCTCTAGGACTAAGAGCAGACCTACCCTGCACGACGTCAACGAACCTGCGCGAAGGAAGGGACATTCATCCGACCAAAATAGATCGTCATTTGATGATGAAGCTAATGAAGAGCCTTCGGCCGCAGGCTACCTACATCACAGAGAGGCTTACACCTCCAAGAAGATACAGAGAGACGTCTCAGGACTGAGACCCTCAACAAAATCTCTCACCTGAGCCGAAGGTCGTCAGATAGATCATCAAGAATGTCACCACATAGGAATATATTGCCTTCGCGAAGGCAACCCCGGACACATAGACGCCACCTCCACGCAGGTCGCCATACAGATCTCCTCTTAGAACTACACATAGTTCTACGTGCACTCATCTCCACGCAGATTGTCACGCAGATCTCCATGCAGGAGGATACTCAACGATCATATCCAACTGGACATGATACAGAGGACGATGGCAGAATCAAAGAGAATGAAGCATTCACGTACCTAATGAAGGACGATGATGTAGACACAATCACCTTACCTCCAATTGACCCGGTCTCGACGTACCTGAGGACTTTGACGCAGCCTTCAGGAAGGCAACAAAGTTCCAGTCTCCAAATATCCCACAGTTCAACGCAAAAAGCCGCAACACTCTCAGATGCGTCACTACATCTGCAGTCGTTGCAGACCTTCAACATGGGTATTTTTTTATGCAGCAAATGATGGACCTAATGGACGGTTCGCGCAAGCCTAAAGGACAAAGCTGCGGGAGGTAATCGGCATGAAGAAATGTATGAAGGATCACGCACTTGACAGTCATGCTCTGCAGTTTCGACGATTAATATAGAAATCCTTGGCCATCCCACTTCACCCTCAGACCTTTATCTTCGTTGTGAGCCTATACGAAGGAACTCTTCAGCATGGAGGAAGAAATCTTCGCCTGCGCAAAGACAGAGGGACACGTGTTGAAGTTCAAGAGGGGTACTCTTGTCCGAATTCATCACCTGCGCAGATCTTCAGACTGAATCCAGGACGGGATTCACATCGTTGAGAATTTTTAGATAGATATATCTACATCAGAACATAATAACGGGACTAACTGCACTCCTTGGTGCTAACAACCTACACCTTCTCAAAGGTTAGAGATGTATCTGAAGAATCCAGGAGGGACTCATGTCCATATAGAGATCTTCACTTGCGTACAGATCTTCAGGTATTCACATTGGCGTGGTTCAGCACAGCCTTGCTAAGGCTATGAAGTTACAAAG